TAAGAATCTTCTCTACCAATTATTGATTGTTCACTTAGACACGTAATAGCCCACACCGCCAAACGCATCCTTATCACTTTGGTTGGATCAAAGACGCAAACAAACTTTTCTAATCAACGGTTTCCAATCGACCAAACACGTACGTAAATTTGTATAAGTGGAGATCTAACTTTCGTACTACCAATTAGCCACTATAAGAAGAAGTACACAAAACTTCATAATCATTGGCAATTAGTCTTGATTTATCCAGATACATCCAAATCCCCAGCTAACTTTTATTTTGAAATCAGGATTCATCAGATAAAAATCATACTTGGATTAATAGAGTATCAAATTATTTATATCTAAATAGTTTTCTACAACTATTTGATTTGGATTAAGAATCATAATTAAAAAAATTAAAAAATATTACCTTATTATCATCAGAGTAAATCTGGAACCTGAGAATCTGCTTCTTGTTCCGACAACCTTTTATGTTATTGTTGTGTCCAAGGAACAAGACACAGATGGTGGCTGCAGCAGCTGCAACACCAAATGAACACATAGCTCCAATCCCATTAAGACGCATCTTCCACAGATTCAATCTCTCGTCACCTATGCTCTTATTATCTACATCCCAATCAATCTCTTTCTTGCTCCTCAAGTCACTACCTTCTTCTTCAACCTCTGATCCCATGATCTCATCATAGTACTCTCCTCCTAACCCTCCTTCTGACTCTGAGTGTTTCTTATCGTTGTTCTGAGGACTTGTGAACCTAGCTGGTAGGTCTATTTTCATGTCGGCAAATTCGTTTTCCTTCGTTGTTTTGAAGGTTAGTCTCGGAGACGGAACAGAGTCCGTCAAAAGCTCCGGGTCTGGCTCCGAGAAATCCGGATCCGGGCTCTTCTTGTGATCTGTGTCGTCCACGGTGGATACGGGTTCCCAGGTTATGGGAAATTGGAGGAGCTGTGTAGGGACCACGCTCGATGTTCGATGAAGCTCTGTTTTTTCGACAGAGTCTTGTGCTGGGCAGATGAAGTAATCCATGTCGAAGCTTTTTCCGGTGTTTCTGATCATCTTCATCGCTGCCTCGTCATGATCGAGATCAAGATCTAGATCGAGACCCTTGTAGTTGTGTTTGGGGAGTAATTCCCAATCTTCTAGATCCATCTCCTTGGAGTTGTTGATTGATTAGGGTTTTCTTTTCGAAAAAGATAGGTTTTTTTTGGGAATTATTTAAGTATTGGGGCGATTTGTGTTTGGTAATTTTGAGGAGAGGCCTCTCTCTCTCTCTTGTCGTTGTGAAGTGGTTTACAGGAGCCTTTAATAGAGCA